CACTTCTCTTCACTTCTAATGACCAGAGCTTTGGTAAGATGGGGAAGGAAGAAGGATGGGTAAGGATGGAAATATTGGAAGAGGGTTGGAGGGGGGGGGAGAGGTAGGATATAAAAGGTAAGTGGCCCAACCACTTTGGTGTAATTTAAAAAGTGTATTTGAATTGATAAGATTATTTTTTAAGAGGTATAATACTAACCCATCAGAGTCACATAAATATAATAGGTATATAAGTACATGACTCTGAATTGCTTGTAATTATACAAGTTGCAATTGCTTTTTTTTTTTTTTTTTTTTTTCGCGATTGCACAACGGATATTCATACGACAGGAAAGGCAATATTTTCTGGCCATTTATGACTCGTGACAATAGTTTCTTAATGGGGGTGTCCAACCAAGTCAATACATAATTTTACATTAGAAAGTTATTTAAGATGTCTCCCAATTTGGGGGGCGATGGTTTTTTCAGTATACATAAAAGGGGTTCGGGGTATATCCAATCTTCTTCGTCAGTAATTGCTCAAAATCATGGTCGAGGGTAATCATCTTTATGAATAAAACGACGAAACCCTCTGTGGGAGAGTCATCTTTGAGTCCTGTGAGGTGAGTATTGATGGTGTAATGGTGTTTTTAAACCTTGTATAGGATGTTCTCTATCTGCAATGTATAGTTCTTGCATTGAAAATAAAGTTGTTTCTTTTTTAGGGTGTCAAGGCGTACTTTTATGGCAGTGATATCTTGTTGTGTGTGTAAATCTGCCATTTTAACTCTGTCTCTCCTCCTGGTATTGGTAATAAATCGAAGACTCTATTCTGGACCCTTTGTAACCGTACATGTGGTCTTTTTGTTAATGATATTGGGACACAAGGGTATCAAGTATAGTCTTATTATCATTTTATACAGATTTTTTTTTGACATTTTTGAGGGCTTGATTGAATCGAAAGAGTCTGCTAAGACCGGCTTTGGCTGTGTTGATCTTTTTAGTTACATGAGATGTTGAGTGGAGCAGCCTGTCATTTCATATCCCAAGATCTTGTTAGGGTTTCTAAGGCCCTACAGGTGACCTCTGACGGGGGATACCCCCTTTATCTTCAAGGGTTTATAAAAAACCCATCCTATCGGCTAACAAGGCCCCTTGTCAGGATTAGTCTAATTCCCCCTTTTTCTTCTCCCAATTAGATGTTCGCCCGAAGTTCAATATTCATTTTTTCTATGACTCTCTCATACTTGTATTTTCCTGTTACTGGATTTTGATGAGACGACATGAATAACATCATCTGCAAACTGTGTCACAATTGTGCCCATTAAACTCTGGTTGAGGAAGGTCATTAATAAATGTTAAACAGAAGTGGACTGAGACAAGAACCTTTTGGGGGACACCAGCCGTCGGTAAAAAGGTTCTGTCGACTTGCCATGAAAGGGGGGAATGATTTTTCTTTGAGTTAAGAAATTATAAATTACTCTGAGAAAAGTCCAGTTATGGCCCTGGTAGGTCAATGAGTTTGTATATAAGGCCATCATGCCATAACTATCAAAAGCTTATGAACATCTCTGGGGGCAATTAAGGCAAGATTGCCCTGCTTTTTTAGACTTGCTAAAATGTCAAAAATAACATTTATTGCATGATTGGTACCTCTATGTGTTTCTAAAGCCAAATTGTTTTTTCAGTAAACAAGTGATTAAAAACCCCTATAGTAATTCAATCTGTTGGAAATGACTTTCTCAAAACTTTTCCAGTGACTTCAAGTAAAGATAAGGTCTATAGTTCCCAGGTTGGGGATGTCTTTATTGGCTTAGCAAGAAAGATCATTCTAGCAGTCTTAAAAACAACTGGAAAATGTCCTGAGGCCAAGATGGCATTAAAGAATTTTTCCAAGGACTGTTTGCAATTTCTAGGTAGGTACTTTATTTGTTTCATTGTTATTCCAGAGAGGCCCGGGGCTCTATTTCTCATTCTTCCAATAACCCGACTTTTCTCTAATAATGTAATAGGTCTAGTAAGCGGTGGGTATCTTCAAGAGTTGAAGTAACGATGGTAGGTAGTGGTTGTAGATCATCCAAGTTTTCATCTCTCCATTCATTTACTAACTGATAATGATTATTATAAATTGACGACTATTATGTGAGAGAGAATTTTCTCCCATACATCACCCATCAAATTAGCCTGGTCCTGTGGATCGTCAAGTTTAATTTCAACATCTTCCCTCATCCTCATCAGTGAAGGTATGAACTAAGGTAGTTAGGAGCCTTGTGCTTTGCCCCTAAAAGTTTGTCGGATCTTACCCAAAATTTTGCTGGTTCACGTTTATATTGATTAGCTTGAAGAACTAGAAATTTCCAATGTTTTCGTTTTTGTTGACTAATCATGTTAATTAATTTGTGCCTTAATCGGTGCAGTGTAGCTGCTGGTGGTTGTCGCGTTTGAAGATGCCTTCGACATTCTGCTTGATAATTTCTTAAAGTGTCTCTAATTTTCCCTAGTAGGTTTTTTATTTTGGTATATCTTCGTGGAAGCTAATTGGCAATTTGCATTGGTAGCTTCAATTTTTCGATTGTGCAGGACCTGATTGCATCATCAATTGCACTGGAAGGTAGATTTTCCAAAGACACAATTTCATCTTCACCCCGATATGCCCCGAAGGGTTCAAATTTCCCAGGGTGTTAAGATTGGGTTTAGGAGTTACAGGTATTCTAAATGGAGAAGTTTGGGAGTTGTATATTACCGGGATATGGTCAGATCCTACATTTCCACCAGGAGATATACGACAGTGAAAGATGTTCACAGTCTCTGTTTGTCAGTACAATATCTGGGGTTCCTGGGTGAGGTCCAATGTACGATTTGAAGAATGGGCCTTGAAATGACAAGTTTCTAGCTGTCATGATATTAAAGAGTTGTTTTTCCCTTTTAAGTCACCCCAGTGGAATACCAGCTCCACAGTTGAAGGCAAAGGGGGATGAGCATTAAAATCTCCAGCTAAAATTGTTGAATATTTCTGCTTAATAAACCTATGTAGGGGATTGACTCTATATATGGGCTGTCTCGGGGAAAATATCCAGTTCCTATTACATTGTCCATGCGAACGTTGTTAGTTTTTATTGCAAGAATGTTATCTTCATCCCAATGAAATATTTTTTAAATGTATATCCTAATTTAACCAAGATGGCTACACCACTAAACTGTCCCTCTCGATTTCTCACAGTACAGTATCCACGTAATTTAATATGTTTGATTTAACTCTTGCAGCTGTCTCGTTCAAAAGTAAACATCAGGATTTTAGTATGTAGTTCAACCTCAAGAAGGTAACGGTTATTGAAGAAATTTAACATTAAGTTGGAAAATTGTAATCCCCATTATTTCTTTTTCTTCGGTCGTACACTGCGTTCTGAACGCCTGCAACTAATTTCATGTGTTGTATCTATACTATCCCTGCTGGACCGTCATAGAAGAAGGGAAAATTTTGCGTGGATGCTTGGTTTTTAAATGCCATCATCTTCATCATCACTAGAGGCAGTAATATTAACAGACTCATTAGAATCATTAGAATCGTTAGAGTCGTTAGAGTCATCATCATGAAACTGAGGTATGCTATACTCAGTTTCAGGAAGCAGAGGCTCGTGAGAGTTAATGGGAGACTGTGTAGGCTCCAAGTGAATATTAGATAGGCAAGGTGAGTTACCTCGGGAAAGTTCCTGTTCAACAGGTTCAGCTGTACTTTCAAGTGTGTTTTGACATGTATTTAACTATATTTGACATATTATTGGTAAATACAATATTGATAGTCATAAAAAGTTTACATTGGCTGTATCAAATCACATCATATCAAATCAAATCAAATCAAATCAAGTTTATTCTCCATAAAGATTACAATGTGGGGTTTACATATAATAGGATATTGTGTGGTTTACATATTATATAAAGCTAATTACAGAGAGGGCCACTATCACACCTAGCATGACTAGGCATGGGCAGACTAAAATCAATTCAAAACTCTATATTGGTACAGATTAAGGAGCATATTGGTATTAAGGCTAAGTAACTGCATTACAGTTTGTAAATTTAGCAATGTGAATGGTTTTGTTTTGGTACAATACATAGTTTCTATTGAAGCTCCTATATTGGAGTATCACAGGCAAACTTATGACTAGTTAAGATTTGTTAGGTAATAGTTGTACTACTTATTTCTATGTTTATAGTCAATTGGGTGAGTGTAGGTGCGAATTGTGGGGAAACACAGATATCGAGGGGAGGTCTAGGTTGTTTTTTGTGTGTGTATGATACAAGAGAATAGGCGATTTTCATGTAGTTAGCTGACGGTGAGGTGTGTCAGGAAGATAAGATGTTTTCTAATAGTGATGAATGTGTCTGCAGTTCTAGAGTTTTCAGGTAGGGTGTTCCAGATTTTAGGTCCTTTTATGTACATTGAATTTTTGTATAGGTTTAGCCGGACACGGGGAATGTCATAGAGATGTTTGTGTCTGGTGTTATGCCTGTGGGTCCTGTCACAACTATCATATTTTGCTAAATCAAGTTTGTTACATATCAGGGGTATGTGTAATTCTTGAGGCTATATTATGGGTTATAAATAACTAGTAAACTACAGTTGGCACCTGTCATTGTAGAATTTTGCAATTTTATATAGTTGCTGGTTTCTTATGAAATCTCTTGCTAAAGCAAAGAGCATACAGGAAGAAAAGCTCTTCTCAATAAGTCAGAGTTTGCCAAGAGATGTGTTGTTATGGACACCATCTTTGCAAAAATTTAACACACCTGCTTTTAGTTTTGGATGGGTCATTTATGGGCATTGTGATAATTATTCTATTTTCGTGTAATTTTTTGGGTCACAGGGTCAGATTGGTTCAATAGTTTCTTTGCTTTGAGCAGCCATTTTTATGCTTAGTGTTTAGTGATTTGAATCTCTATTTTTTGCCGTTTATTGTTAAAGGAAAACTAAGACTCTTAACAAAAACACATTGTCATTTTTATATTTTTATTTTTTTCAGATTTTGAACGTCGGGCTGTCCAAGCATCAGGAGAGACACAGGAATTTGCTGGGTGCCCTGTGATGTTTCATCCTGGTCGGTACCATGGTGCTCCTGAAGAAATTTTCCATATTTATACAGAAGCCGGTGGAGATCCCAAGAAGATGGTGATGGGTCACCTTGATAGTTAGTAATGTCTGTTGATTGGTTTTCTTCATGTATTATGTAAGTGACACATCTATGGTTTAATTGAGTACTATACAACAAATAATGCAGGTCTTGACATTAATCAGTTGTAGATTCAGAAATTTATTTGTAAGTGAAGCAGGCACTGAGAGCACAGTATGGCAGACTTTATTTAGTACTGATAAAGTATTGGCAGCTTTTCTTTTTCTTTTTTTGGGCCACCCTGCCTCGGTGGGATACAGCCGGTGCATTGAAAGAAAAAAGTATTGGCAAAGTACGTGATCAATCTCTCCTGTGGGTGAAGTGCTATATAATAATTTCATACAGTAATCACACTATGTTTTTCTGTATGTTTTAATGGGGTTTCATTAAAAATTAACCTCAAGACAGGACGTGAGTGAGATAAAACGAACGTATAATGTTTTACAGCAGTGAGGAGGCGGTTGGAGGCAGTGGAGATGTCCTGTCTAAGGCCAATGTGTGGTGTAAATATTATGCAGAAAACTCGGAGTGTGGAAATTAGGAGAAGGTGTGGAGTTAATAAAAGTATTAGAGGGCTGAAGAGGGATTGTTAAGGTGGTTTGGTCATTTAGAGAGAATGGATCAAAGTAGAATGACATGGAGAGCATATAAATCTGTAGGGGAAGGAAGGCGGGGTAGGGGTTGTCCTCGAAAAGGTTGGAGGGAGGGGGTAAAGGAGGTTTTGTGGGCGAGGGGCTTGGACTTTCAGCAAGTGTGCGTGAGCGTGTTAGATAGGAGTGAATGGAGACAAATGGTTTTTGGGACCTGACGAACTGTTGGAGTTTGAGCAGGGTAATATTTAGTGAAGGGATTCAGGGAAACCAGTTATTTTTATATAGCTGGACTTTAGTCCTGGAAATGGGAAGTACAATGCCTGCACTTTAAAGGAAGGGTTTGGGATATTGGCAGTTTGGAGGGATATGTTATATATCTTATATATGCTTCTAAACTGTTGTATCTGGGTGCCTCTGCAAAAGCAGTGATTATGTATAAATGAGGTGAAAGTTTTGAATGATGATGAAAGTATTTTCTTTTTGGGGATTTTCTTTCTTTTTGGGTCATCCTGCCGACTTGTTGAAAAAAAAATATGCTTTGGTCATTTATATGTATGACAATGCAAAACAAATGCTGAATAGGCTAATTTAGTAATGAAGGCATTGATAGATTAGTGGCCCCACTACAAAGAGTATCTGTGATGTCTTTATCCTATTAATAAAAAGACAAGGCAGTGCAGTACCTAAATTAAAGCAGCAATGAATTCCACAACATATTTAGAGCCCTGAGTCAGGTCAGGCAAGGTGGCTTCCAGTCAAGGAGAGGCTGGATTGGGATTGTTCATGTCCAGCTGTACAAGTTGCACAAGGTTGCTATTAGGGTGGCTATTACTGCACAAAAAGTCTTTAACTTCACACCATGAGTTAGTTAGATATAATATTTAAAATTCATTGATAAAATAATGCCAGAAGTGCAAGTTCTATGCATATGAAATACATTCAGCTGTCATAAAAGAAATTTATATTAAGACCAACTTTCCAATAGTACTCCATATCAATGACACATGGTTTAGCTATTAATAATTTAGCTAAATCAATGAAATTTGAATAAAATCATGGGCATCATAAAGAGCATGTAGTACAAGAAGCCCCCTCAGAAGGTGATGACTGTGATGAGTCAGTGTTAAAACAATAAACATTATTTCAAGGGTGTGGGACTGATGTTTGTATGCTTTGCTTAAACAGTCCATTTGCTGTAGTGTGTGTGTGTGTCCAGACTAAATCCTATGTATAATGTGATACTGTGTATAGCTCTATAGTTGTAAAACTACAAGTCCACCATTTGTTGGATAGTTTGACACCTAGTGAATATAGTATTAAGAGTTTTTGTATAAGTGAAGTGGTACATTTAGTATAGAATTGACTACAATACTAGAGAGATATTCAGTGTAGTTAGATTCAGTATATGCCACAAGGTAGTGTACAGCTGTGTGGTAACACTAAATACTGAGTACCTCAATAATGGGATCAAAACTCTAGAAAGATGGATTTAGGATTATCTATACAACATACACAGGAACAGATAAGTACCCATGAACCTATTGAGATGGGTAAAGCCTTGTAATATCTACTCCGGTTGCAATCTTGTATAAGTTTGTTCTGGATGGGTTGATGAAATGATCACCTGGGGACCATGGTGTGTTCTTTGTTTTTATTAATTAACTTCTATTTTTTTTCCTTTCAACACAGCACTAGCCGTCTCCCACCAAGGTAGGGCGACTTGAAAAAGAAGAAACACTTTCACCATCACTCACTGTAGTATCACCGATACTACAGTTCAAAACTGCAGTATCTCCACCCCTACTTCAGATTGCAGCCACTGTACTTCCCACCTCCAGGACTCAAGTCTGGCTAATCAGTTTCTCTGCATCCCTTCATAAATGTTACTTTACTCACACTCCAACAGTACATCAAGTCATAAAAATGACTTGCCTCCATTCACTCCTATCTAACATGTTCACACAGGCTTGCTGGATGTCCAAGCCCCTTGCATACAAGGGGCTTGGACATCCAACCTTTCTTAGGATGACCCTCTACCCCACTTTCCCTCCACTACAGATTTATACACACTCCAAGTCATCCTGTTTTAATGACTCCATAATTCTGTGTAAATGTACCTCATGCACTCCACTACTATAATACTTCTAGTGTTAGTATTATTCCAACTGAAGTTATGGTTTACTTCTGGCTAAATCCTATATACAGTGGAACCTCAGTACTCGAACAGCTCTGTACTTGAACAATTTCGTATTTGAATGCTTTGTTTGGTAAACAAATCTCTCGGTAGTCAGCCATTTGCTGGGCACTCGACCAAACAAACACAACCTGCCAAAATTTCACTGTAAACTATTTTGTGTTTCTTCGCAGTTTTTGGTGTTTTTTTATATTATTTAAATAAGTCACCATGGGACCTAAGAGGGTTAGTGATAACAGCCAACCAAAAAGAAAATTGGTTGGGAAAAATTCGTTTGGTACTCGGAAAAATCGGCACTCGAACAGCCTTCTGGAATGAATTAAGTTCAAGTGCTGAAGTTCCACTGTAAATATTTTCTGTAAATATTTCCAATGTTGAATATTCAGCGAAATACAGTAATAATATAATAAGTCCCACTTGTGAATTTATGAGCATGAATCAGGGAGAGATGTAGCTCTTACACAGTCCGTATACATACTGTAACTCTGGATTCAACAAGGTGCTGGCAACATTCCTTAGAGATTCTGTCTGTGTTGATATGATAACATCATGCAGTTGCTGCAGTGGGGCTCTTATCAGGTGCTTGATAAAGTTCTGCTGTTGGTAAAACATTGCTAAATAAAAGTTTTCCCTGCTTAAAGTGTCTTAGAATTACTGTAAAGAAACATTTTTAATTTGTTGTGAACTCTTTATATTTATTAACTAGTATTTATTTGAGTTGAACACTTTCCTTCATCATTTTATTTTGCATTGTCGGGGTCCGCTCTTAATTTGGTTTTGCTTCTCTCTATTCCCCTGGACGGCTTTTTTTTTCATGAAACAAAACCAAAAACCCTCCAAAATTCTATTGGATTTGCCCTTTCCAATCTCCAGAGGCCACCATAAATGCCCCTTTTTTCCCACTTTTGTTATTTGCTTGCAATTTTGAATTTTTTATTGCTTCATTTGTTTCCAACCTAAGAATGGAACTATTTTGATGTGGGTTTATTTTTGAAGAAAGCGCATTTAAAAATTTTTTACTTTTATTAGCTAAAAAATATCTTTCCATGAAATTTATCATAAAATTTTGTAAAAAAGCAAATGTGTATATATAACCATGTCTCGAACATTGGGGAAGGAGAGGGTTTTAATTTTTAAACCAACTTTTTAAAAAATCAATCATCCCAAATTCCTGCGGGGTTTTGGGAATAGGTGACTACATTTTTTTCTAATGTTTGGGCACGTATTCTTGCATGCACAAATTTTTATTTTTTAAAAATTTGCTTTTTTATGTTTTTAAGGAAAAAATTTTTTTTTTTTTTTGACCTTTGGCCCCTTTGGGCGGGAAAAAATTGGGGAAAGATTTCCAAAAATAAAATTTTTCTCCCTTTGAAAAAAAATTAACCCAAAAAAAACTTTTGGTTTCAATGGTTTTAGTTTTCATAATACTTTAACCCCGCCCCTTTTGGTTTAGAAAAATTTTTATTTTTTTAAGTTTTTAAGGTTAATTGTTTGCCTCTAAAATTTTTTTTTTTAATTTGGAAATTTTGATTTTTTGGAAGTTTTTTAAAGGGGGTGAAAAGTAGGTTTTTTAAATACGTTTCCCAAGGAGGAAAAACCTGTAGAAAAAGGGGGGGTTGTTTTTGTTGAAAAAAGGGCTTTTCAGGCTGTTTTTCCCTTTCCCCTTAGGTAATAAATAATACAATTTTTTTTAACCTACGATTTTTTGATTTATTTTAATATTTTTTTTTTAAATTTTCCCAACCCTTTTTAAAAGTGGTTTTAAAATTTTCCAACCCTGCTTTAAAAAATTTTGGGAAAAAATTTGGGTGTAATTTTCCCTTAAAAATTCAAAAAAGTGGGGGTTGAAAGGGGGAAGAAAATGGGGGGATTTTTGGGTTTTTTTTTTAAAAAAAAAAAGGTATTTGGGGATGGAGGGGAAAAAAAAATTTGTTAAAAAAAATGAAGGGGGGGGAAATTTTTGGGAAAAATAAATGGGAATTAGTAGGGTTTTAAATAGGGAACTAAAAAAGGTTTTAAAAAGGGGAAATAAAAAGGGGGAAAAAGGGGGTAAAAATTATTAAAAAGGAATTAAAAATAAAGTGGTGTGAAAAGGGGGTTATAAAAGGTGTTGAAGGGGGTTTAAGGGGGAAAGGTTTTGGGGGTTTTATGAAGTTTTTAAATCAAAAGAGTTGTTTTATTTAAAAAAAGGGGTAAAAATTTAGGAGGGAGTATAAAAATTTGGGGGGGTG